TATTATATTTACTTATACATCTTTTCTAAAGAATCATCTATCGATCTTTTAAAATCCATTATTTAATCTAAAATATTCTTATAATAGTTTAGTCTTGCTTGATTCTCTTTAATCTTCATTTCTTATTATTAAGTCTTTAATTATTATATTCTTTCTTTTGATTGCTCTATTGTTGTCACTTTTATATTATTTAATTTATCAACTAAACAATTACCACAAAAAAACTTAATCTATGATTTATCTGTCATCTCCAAATCAACTGCAATAAATTCCAAATTGTGAATTTTGCATGTAGTCTCCTAAAACTCTTAACTTACCTTTTATTATTATAACATATTCATATTTTTTATTTTATTAATAGAAATACCAATTTATTTTAATTATATTCATCTAAATTACATATTCTTTATATATTGCTATAAAAATCTATTTATGTATATTATATGAATTGAAGAAATTGCTCTATCTATAAGCATACTGATGTAGCAAATCTAGTTTCTGATGAAATAAGTAGATTTGAATTACTTTCGATACAAAAAAAAGCAAATTCTAAATATTTCCTTCTTTAAATTTTCTAATTAATTATTTTATTACTTTTTATCACATCTAGGTCTATAATTAGAAGTTTTTCATAAAAATTAAAAATTGCAATTCTAATTTGTAAATAAATTGATCTTCTCAAATATAAACTACTCTTTAATCCGAAAAATATTATATCAAAACAAAATTCATATATTAGATAAATTTTCATTAACGTATAGTATTAAATCCAACCCAATCTGTTAGTCTGGTCTATGTTAAAGAATTTGATTTCTCTAAAATACTATTATCTAAAAATTATTATTTAAAATATCTTTCTAAAATTTATTAAAGGAATAATTAAAAAAATGAAAATTATTGTCAATTTGCATTTTTCAATTTTCTTTTCTCTTGAGAAAAAAATAACAAATAGACATTCATATTATTGGGAAAAAATGTAGAGATGAAACTCATGAAAACGAAGAAATAATGGAATTTTGTTTGAATCAGAATTGTTAAAATGCAACTCATATTGTTATGAATGTTTATAAACAAATCATTCAGAAAATTTCTATGATTGTATTAGATTCATAACTTTAAAAAAATTTTGAATAGATTTTAAAGAAAATGGATCAGGATGTTAAAATATTGAAAGAAATGATTGAATAACTAAAATAAAAAGACTATTTGGCTTTTAAATCATAAATCAACTCAATTAAACAGTTTTTACTATAAAGGAAAAGAAAATTAGTTATGTAACTTTATTTAATTAATTATAAAAGAATAATAAATATAAAATTCAATAATATACTTGATAAAATTAAGAATATGGTATCTGAAAATATGAAAGTTTAAACATATAGTGGTAATTAAATAGATAATAAAAACGATGAATCTAATTAGATTTCAAAAAAATAGAATATAGAAGGGGCTGAGAAATATTTTAATGAAGTTATAAGTATGTTAATGGATCTAGGTAAAGCTTTAGATAACTTAAAGATATATTAAGAAGCTTTTGAGTGTTATGACAAATCTATTGCAATTCCCTAAAATGATACCTTATGGAATGATAAAGGTAATTATTTTAAAAGTAGTATTATTTAGGTGAAGCATTATACATTCATTCATTAAAAAAGCTATACTGTTGTACAAAATCTACAAAAATATTAAGAAGCTATTGATTGTTATGAAATATGTATTGCAATTAATCCCTAAAATGATGCAGTATGGAGGAATAAAGGTCAAATGATTTTAATATTATCTAGTCTTTGCATTAACNTTTCTAATTAATTATTTTATTACTTTTTATCACATCTAGGTCTATAATTAGAAGTTTTTCATAAAAATTAAAAATTGCAATTCTAATTTGTAAATAAATTGATCTTCTCAAATATAAACTACTCTTTAATCCGAAAAATATTATATCAAAACAAAATTCATATATTAGATAAATTTTCATTAACGTATAGTATTAAATCCAACCCAATCTGTTAGTCTGGTCTATGTTAAAGAATTTGATTTCTCTAAAATACTATTATCTAAAAATTATTATTTAAAATATCTTTCTAAAATTTATTAAAGGAATAATTAAAAAAATGAAAATTATTGTCAATTTGCATTTTTCAATTTTCTTTTCTCTTGAGAAAAAAATAACAAATAGACATTCATATTATTGGGAAAAAATGTAGAGATGAAACTCATGAAAACGAAGAAATAATGGAATTTTGTTTGAATCAGAATTGTTAAAATGCAACTCATATTGTTATGAATGTTTATAAACAAATCATTCAGAAAATTTCTATGATTGTATTAGATTCATAACTTTAAAAAAATTTTGAATAGATTTTAAAGAAAATGGATCAGGATGTTAAAATATTGAAAGAAATGATTGAATAACTAAAATAAAAAGACTATTTGGCTTTTAAATCATAAATCAACTCAATTAAACAGTTTTTACTATAAAGGAAAAGAAAATTAGTTATGTAACTTTATTTAATTAATTATAAAAGAATAATAAATATAAAATTCAATAATATACTTGATAAAATTAAGAATATGGTATCTGAAAATATGAAAGTTTAAACATATAGTGGTAATTAAATAGATAATAAAAACGATGAATCTAATTAGATTTCAAAAAAATAGAATATAGAAGGGGCTGAGAAATATTTTAATGAAGTTATAAGTATGTTAATGGATCTAGGTAAAGCTTTAGATAACTTAAAGATATATTAAGAAGCTTTTGAGTGTTATGACAAATCTATTGCAATTCCCTAAAATGATACCTTATGGAATGATAAAGGTAATTATTTTAAAAGTAGTATTATTTAGGTGAAGCATTATACATTCATTCATTAAAAAAGCTATACTGTTGTACAAAATCTACAAAAATATTAAGAAGCTATTGATTGTTATGAAATATGTATTGCAATTAATCCCTAAAATGATGCAGTATGGAGGAATAAAGGTCAAATGATTTTAATATTATCTAGTCTTTGCATTAACATTTAACTACAAATAATACTATTAAAGTAATTAAAGAAACATAGTGAGGCAATTTTATGTTATGATTAAGCTCTCTCTATTTGCATTGATCCCCAAACATTATAACTTAAAGGTAGATAATTCTTAATTAGATTTAACTGATTCATAATTACCAATAAGCAGAATCGTTAAAATATTTAAATTAGGGAGACACAACGAAGCAGAATAGTTTTATTTAGCTGCATTGGAAATGATGAATATTATGTAATGAAATATCTATAAAAGTTATGAAGCATCATTGTTTCATTAATTTCATCATCTTATTAAAAGTTATTTACTTTTTTTAGTTCCAACTCTTTATTTTTAGTAAAAATTCTAATCAATTTTTCTATTAACAATCATATACTCTCAAATTTTATACACTTTATATTACTGTTATATATTCGTAAGGATCTAATTCTAATTTGGTCATAATATTTTGTCTGTTAAGAATATATAGAATTAATAATGAAAAAAAGTGATTTTTTTTTTTAAAAAAGTTAAAACATTTTATTGATCTTTCTTTAATTTCAGGATAAGCCTAAAACAAGCAAGAGAGTTAGTTATTTGCAACAGTATTGAATTAATTGTCATGACTTTATAATAGGAAACAAAGTTTCTATTTGTTTCCTGATAAATTTGCTCCAAAGTTTAAACACAATCTATTAGATCGCTAATTAATACTAAGGTTCTTTTTTTATGGATTTAAGTAAGAAGCTTCTAAAATACACAGATCTAAATATAACCGTTTAGATGATATTGACAGAATGATCAAATCTGAGACATTTGCCTCTATTAATTAAACTACAGGTTGTGCGAATCGAGAAAAACTAGAGATCAAATAACATTATCATATTTTCTACAACTAATATTTGGCAACCACACTAGAAATACAAAAATATTTTTGAATTTATTATCAAAGTTCTGAAATTTTAGAATTTAAGAAGTCACCCATTTAAAATTATCTATAATTAAACGAAAGAAAAAGAATGATTTAGAGAGTTAAAAGAAATAAGGAGTAAAATTGCCTATAGAACGTTTGATACTTTTAATGTTCAAAATATTATCCAAATTTGTTATTACCTAATTTAATAATAATGGCAACTACTGTAAATGGCTATGAAAGTTTTGGAATGGCTTTTTAGGTGAAAATGGCAGAATATCGCAGAGAAAAAATTGAGTCATGTAAACCATTTAGATTATAATGTGATGTGATGGTAAAATCTATGAGGTATGGTGACATGATCTAATCGAAAAGTTGCTGATAAAAATTTTTATCTCGATTCTGAACTTAAAAGCTTAGAATTTTGCCAAGCCTGATTAAAACCATGACATCTATTACTGAAACTTGATTTAATGAATATTTAAAGGAACGTATTTTGATTCTGCTTTGCTATCTTCTTTGAGGGGGTCTGTATAGTTAGAATGGTAATTCATCTGAAATAAATGGGTATTGGTTATGGCTCTAGAGCATTTGATTTATTAATGATGTTTTAAACAACAGTAAAGCATCGAGAATATCCGATTTTGATTGATAAATAAAAAATTAGATGGGGATATTATTTTTCTCTAAAAAATATATTTATTTATAATTATTTAGGTTTGGTGCATCTTTGGTCCAAAGGCTGCTTAACTTTTTGACTAGACACAACTTACTTATAATTGTTGAAAACAGGTTGTTGGTTATGTTGCTGGAGAACAGGGGATCATTCTATAAATCTATCAATACTTCCTTATATCCTTTAGTCTTTAGATGCAAACAACAATTTTTTTTTAAAAGTTTATAAGTCAGCTTGCTTTTGTATTTGAGAATTTAAATTATCTGTTGGCTTGCATCAAATTCAAAAAAAGTAATGCATAATCTTTTTAATAATTGATGATTTATTTGTATCTATAAAAGTTGATTAAAAAAACATTAACTTTATCGATTTAAAAGGACAAATTGAAAGATTTTACCATAATGTAACAGCGAATCTCTTGCTGTAGTTTTCAAAAGGATCTTTTTATTCAATGTTTATATTCAGCAATTAAATATTTGGAATTTACTTTTAGAACTTCAATAGGGCTTACATTGTTAACTCCTTAGAGATGGATGCTCTGCAGGCAAATTAATTGTCAGATATTTAGTAGTGGGCTTTACACCTTCAATTCTAAATGAACTTATGATAGTTCAACTTAAAATTGCAAATATATCACTTGTAGTAATAACTTAAATATCTTCTTTGCAAATGCGCTAGATGTTAGAGATAATATAATCTGCACAGATGTTTAAACCTCTTAAATTAATGATAAACGTATAATTAAATTATCGATTGGAAATCATCTGATAATTGAAATTAAATTAGGAGGAACCTTGAATGAATGGAATGTTTTCATTTTCAATATGTATAATTTACCAATATTACAACATTTAATTTTGAAAATACAATTTCACTATGCAAGTTCTTGGGTATATATTTGCAAAGCTGTAATCGTAGAATGGAGACTTAAACACTAAGTTGTACTTAATTAGAGGAGCTTAATAAACTGGAGATTATGATATATGCTGATTAATGTCTTATTATTAACATTACGATTATGTTCCTCTTGCAAAATAAAAATGTGAACTTGTCTTAGCGCTGTTACAAGTCACAATAAAGTTGATTAGATTTTCGATTAGGCAAAATAATGATACATTAAAACTTAGTAAGCTCTGGTAATTTGGAGAAGAATATTCCTTATTAATTATGAAATTGCAAATCTCATTAATTGGACATCCTGTAATTAGTAAAATGATTGGCTCTATTTGAAAAATAAATTTTTTTCTTAATTTTTTATATTTAAGAAATTTTACTATTTTATTATTTTTGGTGATTTCTCAATTATTTTATTGTTTTCATATTATAGTTTTTGCTATCCTTTACTATTAATTGCAGTTTTTGAAAGATCAATTTTATTTTTTTGTGATTCATTTTATTAAAGTAGTTTGTACAAGATTTGATTACGAGCAGAGTAGAATTTGAGACTTGGTTTAAGCTTAAGGGTGCGAACAAATTAAACGAAATTGTATAAAATAAAATTGAAATAAAAATTACAATATTTCTATAAATGATTAAATATTTAATAATTCTCTATTTAAAATATTCATTTCAAACTTAAACTGATTTCATTTTAATACCTCATATGGATTAATAGTTTGAATAATTTAAGTTAGTTTGAACTGCATTACTTTCCTACTATTAGGCTTATTATAATTTTTTTAATTCTTCTAAGACTTTAGCTAAAAAAAAAAATATTTGTTTCTTGTTTATACATTTATTTTTTTAATATCTTTAATCTGTTGGATTTCTCTAAATAGCATAATCATAATATTCTAAGGCCTCCTCATATCTATTCATTTCCTCTAAAGTAACAGCTAAAGTTTAATATTTGATTTTTAAGACCTTTATTAAAGAAATACGTAGGATTTTCTGGGTTAATCTTAATAGCATAATCATACTATTCTAATGCTTCTTTAAATTATTTCATTTTAACTAAAGTATTAGCTAAATATTAGCTAATGTATTATTACCTTTGTTTCCAAAATATCTTGAATCGTTGGAGTTTTTTTTAATCGCATTATCATACTATTCCAATGCCTCGTCAAATCTATTCATATCAAATAAAACATTAGCTAAGTTGAATGCTTTTAAATTGAATACCTTTAGCAACATAATTATCTGAATCTTATGGGTTTAATTGAATTGCTTAATTATATTCATATAATGCGTCTTCAAATCTATTCATTTTTTTTATATTTAACTTTTTAATTGTTATCGATTCAATAAAGTGTTAGCTATAATTACAGAAAATCAATAAATACCTTTATAAAAGAAGTATTTAGAATTTTCAGGATTTTATTAAAGAGGATAATCGTATTAATTTAATGCTTGATCAAATTTATTTAGTTTTTGTAATGTTTCAGCTAAAAAATTGAATATTGTTGCTAAATGATACCTTTGTTTATAAAATATCTTGATTCTTGTGAATTTTTCTGAATAGCATAGTCATAATATTTTAATGCCTCTTCATACCTACTCATTTCTTCTAAAGTAACAGCTAACATTTAATATTAAATTTTAATACCTTTATTAAAAAAATACGTTGAAATTTCTGGATCTTATTAAATAGCTTAATTATACTACTACAAAGCCTCCTCAAATCTCCCCATTTTATGTAAAGTTGCAGCTAAAATTAAATGATTGTATTATAATACCTTTATTAGCAAAATAATGAGACACATTTGGGTTGTTGCTTATGGCTTTATCATAATATTCTAAAGCTTCTTCATAACGATTCATTTTCTATAAAGTATTAGCTAATAATTTAATAATTCTTTTTACGACCTTTAGCGGCATGGTTATCTGAATTTTAAGGGTTTTTTGAAATAGCAAAATCGTAATATTCTAATGCTTCTTAATATTTATTCATTTCGTTTAAAATGTTCGCTAAAATTTGATATTGATTAAGAATACCTTTACTAAAGAAATATTTTGAATTTTCTGGATTTTATTAAATAGCTAAATTATACTATTTTAAAGCCTCTTCAAATCTCTTCATCTTATGTAAGGTGTTAGCTAAATGTTATTAATTATTAGAATACCTTTATTAGCATAATTATTTGAATTTTCAGGATTTTTTTCAATAGCACAATCATAATACTCTAATGCTTCTTTAAATCTCTTCAATTCATTTAAGGTATTGGCTTAAAAGTTATATTTATTCTAAACCTTTATTAGCATAATTATCTGAATTTTCTGGATTTATTTCAATAGCATAACCATAACATTATAATGCATCTTCAAATCTAGTCATTTTACATAAAGTAAAAGCTAAAATTTAATATTATTTCTTCGATACCTTTATTAACATAATGATCAGCGAGATCAGGGTCGTTTTAGATGGCAAAATCATAATACTCTAAAGCCTCTTCGAATCTATTTAAATCATTTAAAGTATTTGCTTAATTTTAAAGATTAATTCTTCGTACCTTTGGCAGCATAATTAATTGAATCTTCTGGGTTTTTTGAAATAGCTATATCAAAATACTNAAAGTGTTAGCTATAATTACAGAAAATCAATAAATACCTTTATAAAAGAAGTATTTAGAATTTTCAGGATTTTATTAAAGAGGATAATCGTATTAATTTAATGCTTGATCAAATTTATTTAGTTTTTGTAATGTTTCAGCTAAAAAATTGAATATTGTTGCTAAATGATACCTTTGTTTATAAAATATCTTGATTCTTGTGAATTTTTCTGAATAGCATAGTCATAATATTTTAATGCCTCTTCATACCTACTCATTTCTTCTAAAGTAACAGCTAACATTTAATATTAAATTTTAATACCTTTATTAAAAAAATACGTTGAAATTTCTGGATCTTATTAAATAGCTTAATTATACTACTACAAAGCCTCCTCAAATCTCCCCATTTTATGTAAAGTTGCAGCTAAAATTAAATGATTGTATTATAATACCTTTATTAGCAAAATAATGAGACACATTTGGGTTGTTGCTTATGGCTTTATCATAATATTCTAAAGCTTCTTCATAACGATTCATTTTCTATAAAGTATTAGCTAATAATTTAATAATTCTTTTTACGACCTTTAGCGGCATGGTTATCTGAATTTTAAGGGTTTTTTGAAATAGCAAAATCGTAATATTCTAATGCTTCTTAATATTTATTCATTTCGTTTAAAATGTTCGCTAAAATTTGATATTGATTAAGAATACCTTTACTAAAGAAATATTTTGAATTTTCTGGATTTTATTAAATAGCTAAATTATACTATTTTAAAGCCTCTTCAAATCTCTTCATCTTATGTAAGGTGTTAGCTAAATGTTATTAATTATTAGAATACCTTTATTAGCATAATTATTTGAATTTTCAGGATTTTTTTCAATAGCACAATCATAATACTCTAATGCTTCTTTAAATCTCTTCAATTCATTTAAGGTATTGGCTTAAAAGTTATATTTATTCTAAACCTTTATTAGCATAATTATCTGAATTTTCTGGATTTATTTCAATAGCATAACCATAACATTATAATGCATCTTCAAATCTAGTCATTTTACATAAAGTAAAAGCTAAAATTTAATATTATTTCTTCGATACCTTTATTAACATAATGATCAGCGAGATCAGGGTCGTTTTAGATGGCAAAATCATAATACTCTAAAGCCTCTTCGAATCTATTTAAATCATTTAAAGTATTTGCTTAATTTTAAAGATTAATTCTTCGTACCTTTGGCAGCATAATTAATTGAATCTTCTGGGTTTTTTGAAATAGCTATATCAAAATACTGTAAAGCTTCTTCAAATCTATTCATATCATGTAAAGCACTAGCTAAAATTTTCATAGCTATGACTTCATACCTTTAGCAGCATAAATATTTGGATCTTCTGAATTTTTTTAAATTGCAAAATCATAGTATTACAATGCATCTCCAAATCTACCCATTTTATGTAAAGCATTAGCTAAAATATAATTAGTATGCTTTAGTACCTTTTTCAGCATAATGGTCTGAATTTTCTGGGTTCTTATCAATTGCTAAATCATAATATTGCAATGCTTCTTCAAATCTATTCATTTTCTTTAAAATATGAGCTAAATTTTATAATTCTTAATTCAAACCTTTGTCAGCAAAATTATTCGAATCTTCTGGATTTTTTTAAATTGCATAATCTTAATATTTTAATGATTCTTCAAATCTATTCATTTTAAATAAAGTTCGAGCTTATAATTAATAAATGAAGGTTAAAACATTTAGCAGCATAATTATCTGAATTTTACGGGTTTTTTTAAATTGCAAAATCAAATTATTCTAATGCTTCTTCATATCTATTAAGATCATCTAAAGTAATTGCTGAAAATTAATAATTGTTATTTACCTTTGTTAGTGAAGTAAATTGAATTAGTTGGGTCTTTTTTAATTGCTTTGTCAAAATGTTTTAATGCTTCTTATAATCGATTCATGTTGAATAACACATTGGCTAAAATTTATCATATTTTCTTAATACCCTTATTAAAGTAATACATTGAATATTCTCCATTTTTATTAATTGCTTTATCAAAGTATTCTAATGCTTCCTAAAATCTATTCAGTTCAAATAAAGCATTTGCTATGTATCTAAAGATCAAATTATTACCTTTTCCAAAATAATACCCAGAATCTTCTGGATTCTTTTAAATAGCTAGATCATAATACTCCAATGCTTCTTTAAGTCTATTCATATCCGATAAAGTATTAGCTAGGAAATTATAAAAATTTTACTACACCTTTGTTAAAATAATAGATAGATTCTTCAAGGTTTTTCTATATAGCTAAATCATAATATTCTGATTTTTTATCAAGTTTATTCTAGTTTTTATGTATTTTCATTTTTAATTTTTGTACTTCAAGTTTCTTTCTAAATCCTATTTCCTAATTCTTTCCACATATCTGATTTTATAATCTGCTCTAACTTTAAATCATTCTTTCTGCATTTAGTTTTTAGTATATATTAAATTTAATAAGCTTATAAAAATTCATTATGATAGCTTAACATTACTTATCTCAAATACCTGTCTAGTAATGGTGATCCTGATAAAATTACATCTTTTAATTAATTAATATTATAAAAATTTTATCAATATTGATGTAAGTAAAAATAAAAACCTTATTAAATGCTAGAAAATATCATAAATAAAACCTTCCTCATTTTAATTTTCAATAAATTTCTTTATTTAGGATTTGAAGTAAAATAGCATGTTTAATATCAACTCCTACTTTTATTTTTAATCTTAGTTTCTTCAAATTTTAAAATGCCTAATTGAAAAAAAAATTTATTACCCACACTGAAAAATATTTCATGATTATAAATCTAAGAATGCAAGTAAATTGGAAAGGATTTATCACAAAAATAGCAATCAGAGCAGTTTATTTTTTCTAAACCAGACTCTAAGCTTTATCTGAGGTAAGAGCTGGGTTTCACCACTACATATAATGGTCAATCTTTGAAATTTTCATTAGTTTTAGGCTGTTTTTTAGCACTCCTTATCAAAAAAATTATTAGATTCGAAAAAAAAATGTAGTATATTTAGAGATAGATGACAGAGTTATTGAATGTTTCTAATCATTTAACTTTCACAATAATTCTTGATTAGCAAACATGTAATGGTTCTAGCAATTGTTTGGCAATTTGATGAAAAATAAGTTTAAAATTATATATACAATTTAAAGAAGTTTTTCAATTACCACAATCAAAATTATGCTGATAACAGTAATAAATAACTAATTTTTTATTTGGTATGAAATTCAAATTTATGATTATTCTTACTAAATTTTATGAGTGCTCGAATCAACATATTTTATTTTTACTTTAACTTATGTATATTAAAAATATTCTCTAATACCTTACTTTTGCTTTGAGTATCTCTAGATAATTTTGATGTTTTTTCAGATTGGATTCATTAAAGAATTGTTTAATTAAATTTATTGATTAAAGACGATCGTATTTACCTAAAAATTTAAGTAGAATAGTAAAGCTCTTTTTTAATAATTTATTTTATCTCCTTTCATGATAGAATTTTGTTAATTATATAATAAAATTTAATTTTATAAATCCAAATCAATACTACTTTCATTCAATCCTGTTCAACCTCCATTTGATTTTAATATTATTATCCCAGAACGAATCTAATCTGATTTGTTTAGAAATTATAAGTTGATTTTTGTAATTTGAATTCAAAACAAATTTAAGGTAGTTAATAAAAGGATTTTACTTTTCATAATTTATTCTTGAATCAAGTATTCATTTTCATTATATTACTTCTTATTTCTAAATATCCCATTAAGCCTTCATAATGCAATTAAAAAAGACATCATTGGATATAACATTACAATACTCTTGCATTCTAAAATAATTATTGATAATAGTGAATGCATCCATTAAGAAGTAAGGTAGAATCAGATTTAATTTGAAAAACTTTTAATTGAACTAGTATTTTAAGGATAAAGATCACCCTGATCGACATCTTTGTTTCCTATAATTAATATAATTTGTAATCTTCAACTCAAAATATCTTGCCTATAATATTTGTTTTGCTAATTTGAGGGTAAAGCTATTAATTCTATCCATATTAAACCTCTAGGTTCTGATGCTTTGATTTATAGTAATATGAGAAAATCGTGGATAATCACCTTTCTCATTAGAATTGATTGACCTTATGTTATATAAAGCTTCTTTAACAAATATTTAAATAATGTATATTGATTAAATATTTCGACTGCATAGTTATAATTATTTTATTAAATTGTATCATTAAATATTAATTTATACTTTCTCAATTTAAAGAATACCAATCAAAAGAAATGGAGCTTCCCCATTTTTACAAACCAAAATTCGTACTTCAATAAAAAAATAAAACCTAGACTTTTTGTTAATAAAATAATAAAAATGAGAATGTGGAAAAGCAGGCCATAATACTTGAAAATTATGCAATAAAATGGGTTTAAATTATTAGCATTCTTTTTTAATCCTTCTTCATCAATTCACCCTTAAGAATATAATAAATTCTAATTAAATCACAAATTAGTTTAACCCAAATAATGCTCCAAATTATATTACTCTAAGAGAGACATTTTAGAAATGAAAAATGATTTACTCCTAAGATAGATCCTTATTGAAAATAATGATGAGCAAAAAAGTTGTGCAGCGCTACCAAAAACAAAAGAATGGAGAAATAAGCTTATTTACTTGTAAAATACCTTAAGGGCTAATTTCCATTTGAATTTCTTTTATAATATTTCTATACGACCTTTCCTTTATATAAAATCTTAAACAACAAGCTAATGCGTTCCACTTTACAACTTGAAACAATTATATTATTAGGCTTTGAAAATTTTATTCATTTAGAAAATTATTTCGAATAAAACTATCTACAATTTGCAAATTTACCGTTTTTTTCTAATCTCCAATCTTGAAACAATCCATTTGAACTTAGTAATGGTTTAGCTATATGATAATGTCCTGTATTTTCCAAAAAATTGATAAATTTCCTACAATTTCAGAAAAGTAACCTGATAGGCTTCCATAAGCTGAATTTTACATTTTAATGATGATAACTAAATATATAAGTTCATAAAAATGAGTTTAAAGATTGTTTGATTGTTGATGATGAAATCTTTTGTAATTCTTTAATCCATTCTTAAAAATATGTTTTTAATAACTTTTATTAAATTTTAGAATGCACTATTATTTTGTACATAAGAGACTCACGCTGTAAAAAATTGTATTAGGGTATAAAAATTGTAGGGTATTTCAGACATAAAATAACGTCTAAATCAAAGACAATATTTTTGATCCTACCATAAAAATAGTATACTATATGCATTTTATTAATAAAAAAAATCTAAATATAATATGGATGTTACAAAAATAGGATAGAGAACTCTTATACGACTTTAAAAGGTCCCTGCCAGAACAATTTTTATGTTCAAAAGGAAAATCTTTTAAATATTAAGCAAATTCTTGATTAAATATTCAGCTTCTTTAAGCTCTTCCGGTATGGCTTGATAGTTCTCTTCTTTTCTTGAAGATAACTATTAGTGAAAAAGAAGGCTCTGCAAAAGAAAAATTAGAGCAATCCCTTGTTTAAACAAGCCTAGTTTTGAAAGCCAAATTATTCTTAAACTTGATTTTAGCTGAAAATTCAATTTGATCTATTACGCATGGATAACAGGTTTGGAAAGAGGAATTTATGTTTTGCCAATTCATATAATTTGGAGAGCTGATTGTGAAAACTTAAAATCTCTACTTAACAAATAAAGGGAAAGAGGATCTATCCATTTTAATCAGTCTTTAAATAATCATCTTTTAATCTACTTTAGATTTGGCTAAATTTACTTTCAAAAGTAAACATATCAACACATCTGCAAATTTTCAAATTGAGATCCAAATGAACTTCTACTATTGCTAATTATTTCGTAGAATCAAAGCTAAGCTATAAGCATAATGATTGTCTAAGGTTGATTCTAAAGACTAGCTGATTATTCTAAATTTAATTCAGAGAATTCAATTAACTGTAAAAAATAAAATATAATACATAATATTTTCTTTTAGGTATTATTTCAACTGGTATTTCTTATTTTAAATTGAATTATTAATAAAATGTTACTTCAAAATACATTCATTACCTTATGCAATTAAAGTTGGGCTTGTTACTTAGTCTGTAAGATTGTACCCTTATTGATGAATTTAATAAAATCCGAAATATAAGTTGAAACCATACTGTAATTTTTACAAAAAGATTGATTAGTCTTTCTAGAAATAATAAGATGGTTTTTCTATTTAATTTCCTAATTTAGGAGCTATTTAAACCTTTGAATAAGGAATATTCTTATGCTAATGATTGTAAGCTTTTAGTAGCTGAAGCTAATTTATTCTAAAAAACTGCAATGTTAGAATCTACAGTTACTAATTATTCTAATACATTAATCTAATGAGAATGAGATGGTAAGTAATACTGTTATTTTTCAGAATGGCAAAACCATTTCCTTTTGAAAAACCAAAAATAGATGCCTTGGTAAAAAGGTATTCAAATTTTCCATTTTCAAATTCGATCCTATCATTTTTAAATAATCACTCCTCACTTTTTGAATTGAAATATTCAATCATCTACTAATTTCAAACCAATTACGATCATGTAAGTCAATTTCATAATTCCAATTCAAACTCAATTCTAAGATAATTGTGATAGAACACTTCAATGTAAACTCATAGCAATATGATTTAGAAAAAATTTTAGCTTGCACTCAAAATAAAATGTCTTCTAAAGTATAATCCAACTATTGTTTGAACTTACTANTTTCAGACATAAAATAACGTCTAAATCAAAGACAATATTTTTGATCCTACCATAAAAATAGTATACTATATGCATTTTATTAATAAAAAAAATCTAAATATAATATGGATGTTACAAAAATAGGATAGAGAACTCTTATACGACTTTAAAAGGTCCCTGCCAGAACAATTTTTATGTTCAAAAGGAAAATCTTTTAAATATTAAGCAAATTCTTGATTAAATATTCAGCTTCTTTAAGCTCTTCCGGTATGGCTTGATAGTTCTCTTCTTTTCTTGAAGATAACTATTAGTGAAAAAGAAGGCTCTGCAAAAGAAAAATTAGAGCAATCCCTTGTTTAAACAAGCCTAGTTTTGAAAGCCAAATTATTCTTAAACTTGATTTTAGCTGAAAATTCAATTTGATCTATTACGCATGGATAACAGGTTTGGAAAGAGGAATTTATGTTTTGCCAATTCATATAATTTGGAGAGCTGATTGTGAAAACTTAAAATCTCTACTTAACAAATAAAGGGAAAGAGGATCTATCCATTTTAATCAGTCTTTAAATAATCATCTTTTAATCTACTTTAGATTTGGCTAAATTTACTTTCAAAAGTAAACATATCAACACATCTGCAAATTTTCAAATTGAGATCCAAATGAACTTCTACTATTGCTAATTATTTCGTAGAATCAAAGCTAAGCTATAAGCATAATGATTGTCTAAGGTTGATTCTAAAGACTAGCTGATTATTCTAAATTTAATTCAGAGAATTCAATTAACTGTAAAAAATAAAATATAATACATAATATTTTCTTTTAGGTATTATTTCAACTGGTATTTCTTATTTTAAATTGAATTATTAATAAAATGTTACTTCAAAATACATTCATTACCTTATGCAATTAAAGTTGGGCTTGTTACTTAGTCTGTAAGATTGTACCCTTATTGATGAATTTAATAAAATCCGAAATATAAGTTGAAACCATACTGTAATTTTTACAAAAAGATTGATTAGTCTTTCTAGAAATAATAAGATGGTTTTTCTATTTAATTTCCTAATTTAGGAGCTATTTAAACCTTTGAATAAGGAATATTCTTATGCTAATGATTGTAAGCTTTTAGTAGCTGAAGCTAATTTATTCTAAAAAACTGCAATGTTAGAATCTACAGTTACTAATTATTCTAATACATTAATCTAATGAGAATGAGATGGTAAGTAATACTGTTATTTTTCAGAATGGCAAAACCATTTCCTTTTGAAAAACCAAAAATAGATGCCTTGGTAAAAAGGTATTCAAATTTTCCATTTTCAAATTCGATCCTATCATTTTTAAATAATCACTCCTCACTTTTTGAATTGAAATATTCAATCATCTACTAATTTCAAACCAATTACGATCATGTAAGTCAATTTCATAATTCCAATTCAAACTCAATTCTAAGATAATTGTGATAGAACACTTCAATGTAGCAAATGAAGTAGCTAAATCAATCTAGTCATCATCTTTAAGATTTGGTAAATATATTTCTTAACCTCACACTTAATATACCAAAACAGACTACGTTTCATTAATCATGAGAGTAATTAATTATATAACCAATATTATTTGCAAATATTGATAACTTTTATTTCTTAATTACTAATTTATTTTTAAAAAGATCACCCAAAAATTCTAACTAAAAACTAAACTCTAGGATCATTAATTTTTATATGCATAAGATAACTTAATTGAATTACAAGAAGATATTTATTTTTATTGTTTAAAATGTTATTTAATAAATTTAAATCAAATGGAAAATAGAGTTTAATATATGATAATGGAGATTCATATAATGGAGAGGTTTTAAATGGCGAAAAGTATGGAAAGGGTTAATACAAATGGGCTCATGGAGATTGGATAAATGATGAAAGAATTGAAATGCCTAATTTAAATGGGCTGATGGAGATTAATATTATTGAGGTTGGATACATGATAAAAGAGCTGGGAAGGGTTAAGTTAAATGGGCTACTGGATCTATATATGACGGAGATTGGGTCAATTGTTAAAGCCATGGATTTGGGGAAGATAAATCTTATAATGGTGAAAAAGGATATGGTAAATGGGTCCTTGATGAAAAAATGTGAATTTTTAAATTTAATAAGGCCATATACAGCCATATTTTATGAAAATCAATATGTTGTTTCATTGATTAAAGATCATTCTTAAAACTTAAACCAATATCTTTATATTGGATTTAATTTGGTTGCCCAATGCTAAAGTATTCTACTTAATATAGAATTATGATTGGAAAAATTTGCTTGCATTAGTGACGAATAAATTAAGTTTTATAAATTTACAATCCCATATAATTTGGGCATAACCTACAATAATAATAATCTTCTATGAAGAATAGAAGGAATCGTAAATAATAATAAATGACCACCATCCTATCACAATCAGAAATAGAGACAACATGTCTTTTCTTGGCAATCAGAAAAAGTAATAATCTTTGAAAGTGTAAATATAGATTTAAAATACATGGTGATTAAAATTATTTATTTATTAAGCCCTTAAATTCTTAGTAAACTTAAGAAAACATGTCAAACTGATTCAATCTCTTTTAAAATTTGAATTGAATTGAATTAAATCAAAATAATTCTCGTTTAATAATTTGCACCTTTTTTCTTTATCATTGAAAGGCCAAAAACATTAGTTAGTAATTCTGAATTTATCCATTGAAGCCCAGAATATACAGAGAAAAAGAGGGTAAAAAAAGTGTTTTTTTGAATTGACCAGCTCACAAATTGATTTGAGCTCCTGACATAATTATGATTTACTCTATGTATGTAGCCTTTTTGGAACAATAATATACATTAAGTCTCACAATTAGTTTAGTATTTTGTGCTTAATAACTAACAAATAATGAAAGGACCTTAAGTAGCTCATTTCAGTCAATTGAATATTGTAGGTTAAGCTAATCAGGTATTCTAAATATTTTTTAGAGCTGGCAAGCCAGAAAGGTGTAATTAGAAGTTGAGATATTATTGATAAATATTTAGTGTAAGCTCAGAGATGAATTGGAAAACAAGATAAAATAGTAGTTCAATCTAGCTAAACTGCGGTGCCTGATTTTCAAAATAATTCTATGAATTTCATTTGAATATATGAAAAGTCCAGAATTTATATCCTTATAATGAATATTCTAGAAATTACTGCGATTTATTTCATAATCGTTAAAGAGTTTTATTAAAATAAACAATAACTTTCGCCATCTTTTTAAAGTTTATTGAATATAGCATATAAAGAGTTTAAGTTAATTTTATCTAAACTGAGAAATACATCATGTATATATAACAAATTTTTGAATAACATAAAAGATTATTTCAAATTCATTTGTACTAATCTCATTTTAATTTCATTCTGTCTAATTGAATTTTTTAGAAAAATTAATAATGATTTTATTTAAAAAAAAGTACATGCTCATTCATTGTAACACTCCNGATGAAAGAATTGAAATGCCTAATTTAAATGGGCTGATGGAGATTAATATTATTGAGGTTGGATACATGATAAAAGAGCTGGGAAGGGTTAAGTTAAATGGGCTACTGGATCTATATATGACGGAGATTGGGTCAATTGTTAAAGCCATGGATTTGGGGAAGATAAATCTTATAATGGTGAAAAAGGATATGGTAAATGGGTCCTTGATGAAAAAATGTGAATTTTTAAATTTAATAAGGCCATATACAGCCATATTTTATGAAAATCAATATGTTGTTTCATTGATTAAAGATCATTCTTAAAACTTAAACCAATATCTTTATATTGGATTTAATTTGGTTGCCCAATGCTAAAGTATTCTACTTAATATAGAATTATGATTGGAAAAATTTGCTTGCATTAGTGACGAATAAATTAAGTTTTATAAATTTACAATCCCATATAATTTGGGCATAACCTACAATAATAATAATCTTCTATGAAGAATAGAAGGAATCGTAAATAATAATAAATGACCACCATCCTATCACAATCAGAAATAGAGACAACATGTCTTTTCTTGGCAATCAGAAAAAGTAATAATCTTTGAAAGTGTAAATATAGATTTAAAATACATGGTGATTAAAATTATTTATTTATTAAGCCCTTAAATTCTTAGTAAACTTAAGAAAACATGTCAAACTGATTCAATCTCTTTTAAAATTTGAATTGAATTGAATTAAATCAAAATAATTCTCGTTTAATAATTTGCACCTTTTTTCTTTATCATTGAAAGGCCAAAAACATTAGTTAGTAATTCTGAATTTATCCATTGAAGCCCAGAATATACAGAGAAAAAGAGGGTAAAAAAAGTGTTTTTTTGAATTGACCAGCTCACAAATTGATTTGAGCTCCTGACATAATTATGATTTACTCTATGTATGTAGCCTTTTTGGAACAATAATATACATTAAGTCTCACAATTAGTTTAGTATTTTGTGCTTAATAACTAACAAATAATGAAAGGACCTTAAGTAGCTCATTTCAGTCAATTGAATATTGTAGGTTAAGCTAATCAGGTATTCTAAATATTTTTTAGAGCTGGCAAGCCAGAAAGGTGTAATTAGAAGTTGAGATATTATTGATAAATATTTAGTGTAAGCTCAGAGATGAATTGGAAAACAAGATAAAATAGTAGTTCAATCTAGCTAAACTGCGGTGCCTGATTTTCAAAATAATTCTATGAATTTCATTTGAATATATGAAAAGTCCAGAATTTATATCCTTATAATGAATATATATAACAAATTTTTGAATAACATAAAAGATTATTTCAAATTCATTTGTACTAATCTCATTTTAATTTCATTCTGTCTAATTGAATTTTTTAGAAAAATTAATAATGATTTTATTTAAAAAAAAGTACATGCTCATTCATTGTAACACTCCCCCTCACCCCATGAATATTTTAGTACGTTGTTACTTGCTTACATCAAAAATAATAAATACGAATGACATAATCAAATCAACCAAATTGTATTCAAATATTTCATAAAAACAAAACAATATAATGAATTTTATATTACACTTTAATTATCATATATCATAATATGTTATTTAATTCAATATTCAAATTAGAACCATTAATTATTTTTCCATCTTTATATTCACATTCATAAGAACTAACAGAACCATCAATTAACTCAATCCACTTTCCAATCTTAATTTAGCCCCCTTCACCATATTATCCACCGCCACTAAGAATTTTGATTATTCTTTACATTTTTTTGAACTCTTCTTTACCCCACGGCATATAATAAGTATCCCATCTACCAACCTTTTTACCATTTTAATATTCACCCTTATAAATGATTTACAAATTCATTTCAAATCCATCGCAAACCTCAACCCACATCCCTATCTTAGAGGAACCTCTGTTGTCATATAATCCACCACCACTAAAGATTTGGTTTATATTAAAATTACATTTTTTTGTTTTTATATCCGTCAACATAATATTTATACCAAATATCCCATTAACCAATTCTATCACTATTTTTATATTCACCAATATAATTGACAAATGATTATCCTTTCCTACTCCCAAAATTTTCACTCACTTCAATCCATTATCCAATTTTAATCGAACTTTATTCATCATACAAGCCACCACCACTAATAAATATCATGTTTTATTTTAATCTTACACATTTACAAAGTATTTTTCCCAATATTCTTAATACATAATATTCCATCTGCCAACCTTTCTACCATTCTAATATTCTCCATTATAAATGATTTACGATTAGCCTTGTCCACCTCCAAAATCCTTAATTAATTCAATCCATCTTCCTACTTATATTGAACAATCATATAATCCTCCACCTCTAAAACAAATAATATCATAATTTTACATCTTTTTATTTATGTTATTATCATTCCAAATAATATTCCAACCACCTACTTTTTTGCCATTATTATAATAACCTTCTTAAGTAATTTATGACCCAATACTAAAACTATCAGACAATTCAATCCACTTCCCAGATTTAATAGATCCCTTAACTGCTTCTTGATATATTCCACCTCCTCTAACAGATTGTATTCACAATTTACATTAATTTATTCGTTTCAGAATTCAAATAATATTCCCATTTTCCAACTTTATTACCATTTTTATATTCACCTTTATATGTGACTTACGAAAGATTATAGTAGCTATCACTCAATTCAACCCATTTACCATCTTTCTAACCTTAATTATTGTATTGACCACCACCACTAGGTAATTTTTTAATCATACATCCTTTTGTTCTCCTAGATAAAAATCCAAGTTCCACACTTTTAATTATTATAGTAGACTCCTCTTTCAAAGACTTGAGCTTTACTATTTTATAGATTATTTTATTGTACCTCCAATAATTTCTAATTGGTTCATTCCATAAACCTTGCTTTAATCCGTTATCATAATACCCATCAACATCTTTTAGAACTTTACTATTCCAAGTAACTACCCATTTACCAAATTTTCTTTTATTGCACCCATATTCACCCAACCAATTCAAATGTTTGATCTAATCTAAATTTGTGGCTATTTCTGGATAGTTAGAATCATCATAAATTAGTTCACTATTAATACATTATTTTATACTTTCTCAATACTACTCCATCCAAAGAATATTCAATATAATGATCTACTTTAATTGTGATTCTAATTTGAGTCTTTATGAGCCTCTCTTAGTTTTAATCCCATTTGTCCACCTAAATATCTAAAACTTAAATTTCCATTTCTTAGAAGGGTATTTTACTTATTTTATTAACAAATAAATTAACTATCAATTTTCTAATTACTTCCCTTTAATAAAATACAATATTCATAATCTTATTAATAATAATGAGACATAGGTGCCAAATTGAATTTTAATAACAAATTTCAAATAACATTCAGCAAGGTTGTTATTTTATACTTTATCATTCAGATTATATGGAAGACTATACTTCAGAAATGGGGCTAAAATATTAAATAATATTGCATTTTTATTCTTTTAATGCGTTCCTATCTAACATAACAGTTAAGATATAAATGAATTATCACATTTAAATAGGATAGATAATTTTTAAGAATTATTTTAGAAAAATTCAAAAATTCTCAAATTTGTAATTTTTTGTAACCTAATGAATTTTTAATCAAGCTTTAGCAAACCTTTTATGTGTTCACAGTGTTTTTGAAATCTGAAGTTACTTTTTGAACATAATTAGAATAATCTCTAGAAACATGAAGAATACACCAAATCAGGCTTTGTAATTAGTCGCTATACACTGAAGCAGCTCTATTCGAGTTTATTAGAAAGTATGAGTGAGAAAGAAAATGATTGGGATTGAGGACGTTGATTTGCTAAGATATTTCAAATTTTTTGATGAATAAAAATTATTAAGCAAGCCTTAGAGATAAACATTTTTTCAAATGGTGCTACATCATTCGGTATGTTTAATAATAGAAAGAAAATAAAGAAAATGCTGAGAAATTTGATAATGAAATGATTAATGTTTTGCTTATAGATTAATACCCCTAAACAAAGTGCAACAAAGAATTGCTTCTTTAACTAATAAGTGAAGATTTTGATCTAAAATTCGTGAAATTGATCTATAAGCCAACATTCTAATAGATAACAAGCAATCATATTACACTCAGAATAGGTTTTTATTGAAATTGAACTTGAAACCCAAATCAATAAAAGAAAGGTATTTGATAATTAAGTTAAAAGGCAATCAAAAAAAGAATGACTCTCCTTTCGAGTTTTTAGGAAACACAACCAAATAGCATAGATTTCTTATACCATGTATAAAAAAACTTCTTCATTAATTATCAATCCTATAACCAAAGAGAAGATTTGATTCAAGAATTGCACACAATGAGGATCTTCATTAAGTGCTTTCCTTTTCAACATATATCTCAAAAATTTAATAGCTATGGTCAAGAAGGATTAATGCAGCTTGCAATGAAAATTAATCTAAAAAACGCGAAAAGAAGAAAACTCTTTGAAAACGCTCTAATCATAATTGTATATGATGTAGCTAACGTTGCAAATCAATATGTCCTTGAATTATGTACACAAATACTCATATAATAAGTAGAAGTGCATAGATTAAAGGTTTACTTTAATAATTAAAATATAGATCAAATACATTACTATCTATAAAGAGGATACATTTAAATACCTAAGAATCCAATAACAATTAGTGGAAACCTTACATCAAATGTAAGCAACTAAACAGCTATGATTTACAATCCTGCCTGACTTGCAATTCTTATAATAAAACCATCTTTCAGCTTTATTCCTAAATTGCAGATTCTGCATGCTTGGACATAAATAAGATTCTGAAGTCTGTAATTTATTTACAATTCTAATAGATCACACCATTAAATTATAACTAAAATGAATCGCTTTGGAAGAGTTCTAGGATTAAATAATATATTACCTAAACCAGTGATTAATTAACATATTGAGAAATTGGAGTTTGACTTCAGAGTAAGAAAACATAATAAGAAAGCAAATTTAAACAGAAATTTATAGGAGCCAAATGTGAATACATTAAAAGTAGCTATTAGAAATGCACTTACCTTTACTATTTAAGAGTAATTCTTAATTTTTGATCAACATTACTTATACTTTATAAAGACATTTTATTTAATTCTAAGTATTACAATTAGTTAGAGTCTTGGATGGGCCTGAATCTTTAATATTAAATATATTAATTCTTAGCAGAAGTATAGATTTTGGGAAAACATTACCTGCATGTTGTATCATCTCCTTTTAAAGCTATTTCTTTTTATATTGAAATTACTCTGCTTTATTTGTGGATTAAAAATTGAAGGAACTTTCTTGTCCATTTTGAAAAGCGAATAAACTGTTTGTAATAAACGATATTCTGAAACCAACTTTTCAACTGTTATCTTTTGCAAGACCTACAATTTCTGCTAATTTGAGGGTGATAAAAATAAAATTCAATTACCTTTTCCCAAAAATGAGCAATTTTGTTCAATGGATAATCCATAAACTAGGAACAAAATCATTTCTAGTTATATTAATCAGTCATTCATTATGATGAATTATAATAGATCAAATTTCGATGGTCTTATCATAAGATCCACTAAATAAGAGATTTTCTGTTTTTGTATGAACAACTAAACAATAAATATTTGATTTAGATTAATCAATAAATAGATTTCTATAAAAAAAACCCTTTAATTTCAATAACTACACAAAGCAAGAATCTATACACAGTCAGTCAATTTAAGATCCTCAGGATATAGATCAAAATTCAACTTTGATAACATTTATTGGGTTAATTATAGTTATTTAATTTAAATTTTTTCCACTAGCTGTAATGTAATAACTCAAATAATATTCTTAAATATTTTAAGTAGATATTGAAATGAGCTTAATTTAGATCTTGTTTATTTAATCAAATTTATAAATTGAATTCTATAAAATATTCGAGTAAGTTTAATCATATATTTAATAAAATTATATAAGCATAAGTTTAATATTATTTATATCATTAAAATTCTATGTTTTAGATTCCATGCCTTAATGGCCACGATGAGACTGTTGACTTTTTTTGCTTAGCTGAGAATTGTAAGGACATTAGATTTTGTTGTTTTAATCGATGTATTAAGAGTGGTCTTAAACATGCTCATAATGATAAAGATTTATATAAAATAGAAAAATTTCCTAATTATTTACATAAATCAAATATTTAATTTTCAGAACTAATATAGCACCTAGATAAAATATTTGAAGACCTTATTTCTATATACAAATAGTTAAGATAACAACTTTATTATACATTTGAATGGACATTAGATAGGATAAAATGGTTAAAGGGGAAAAACATAAATATTGCTTTAGATAATATAATTAAGTTAGAAGAATATAAGAGAAGGGTTATCATTAATTTAAAATAAAATGCATAAAAGTTAAGTCAAACACTTAACTAAAGTATTCAAGAATTACAACTAAAAGAAGTATTTATTTATATGATAAATAGAAAGTCACTTAGTAATTTTATCTTTTAAAGTAATGTTAAATAAAGGAGAAAGAAGCATTTAATACAATAGCGTCGAACTACGATTCATCTATTATTATTTGTGGATTTTAGAGTTGTATCAAAATTTATGAATTTAGAAATTAATCAATTTAAGAAATACAAATAATTAAATAAGAGTGCACCATTAAGTTACTTTTCATCAATGATACAGATAAATTTATTTCTTAGTTTGATCATTCTGTTGATATTTTTTCGAAAATCAATACTAATTGGTAAAAATAACAATCCATTGATTTCGTTGATAATGAATAATTATACATCATGAAGGATGAATCTATTCTGATTATAGGGTGGATTGGTATTTTGAAATCATTTTTAGGACAAAAAAAAGTAGTCAAATGTTTTCAAAAAATAAAAGAATAATATTAATTGTAAGATGAATATTAGATAGATCTCTAACATTATTTATGTATTAATTCAGATATGAATGATTCTGAGAATACCATTATTTGGTGCAGTGATCAAATGATTGAAATCATTTAAAGATAATGTTAGACAAAAAAATGGGATACTTTACAAAAAATTTAAATTTAAGAAGCTTCCCCTTAGGGTAAGTTCATTTAAAATGACTCCTTTATAGTCTCTAAACACTCTCTATTATGCATTTATTCGAGAAACTCTAATAATAAATTATTTGAAAAAAAAAGAGAAATCACTTTGTCTTAATCTTAATCTTAATCTGGTAGGATCATTTCAAATAATATTGAAATTAAACAATTCTTCAAATCAAAATAGTTCTTGGTAATTACAATTAATTCCAAATTTAGTATATATAAATTTGATGAAAATGGAGATTTGAGAATTGAATATGATGTTGAATGTGCTAATTGTTAGGGAGTGATTAGTAAAAACGGAAGAATTTTAGTAACATAAGACCTTAATTCAAAATAGATTTCCATAAGGCAGATCTTAGAATGAATATTATATTATAGTAAATCACAGATTATAATAATCTTTCCTTTTCTGTTAAATCATTCTATTATGATAAATAAAAAATTTTGGTTTTTAATTTATAAATTTGTTATGTACATTCTAATCTGTTTTTAATCTTAAACCACCTTAGAATTAAAAAGAAGTGTACCTACCTATCAAGAAAAAATAAATAAATAGGTAAATTTACGAATAATATATTAAAACTAAAAATACTATTTGTTTATAAATGTTTATATCTAATAATAAATTTTTTTCTAAATGTATAATATTGTATTTCTTAAAACATTGGTCCACTTAGTGAATTTATAAGCCGATCATTCTTAATTTTGGATATTTTTCATTAAAAATGTGTGGTTTTTGGCTATGATTTTTTCTAATTATTCTTAAAAAATGAAATTACAGCTTTTGATTCAATTTTCTTACGTTTGGAGAATAGATTGGTTAGGTTTTCATTTTTCTAAGCTGAATGTAATTGAAATTTTAAAGACGTAAATAAATTGATATTAAATCTCAAAAAGCCAGTTAAATTAAGTTTGAAAGCAGTTTGTTTTAGTAGAAATATATTTTTGGAAAATGATACAGTAATTCTTAACAAAGTACATATTGGAACTTCGGTTTTATTTATGCTCATGTACTGACTGACATGTTATCATACCTAATCTTATTGAGGCGGAAAAATGATTTACACTTTATGCATTGTTGAAAAATCTGTCTTTTTTATTTATAAATGATTCTTAGCAAAATAGCACTGAAAATTGCAAATGTTATTTTCAAAAAATATAAAATATTTAGAATTTTTATCAAATTAATTGTTATTATAAATAGATTCAATTTTAATTTGAGGTTATTATAATTGTCTTAACGATTCAGAAATATAGAACTAATTTTGGAAAATTAAGAAATCTTCAATGTCTAGTATAAAAAGTACAGTGCATAAATAAATGGACAGTTACACAATGAAAAATGAAAAGCTAAAATAATTAATTTAGCTAGAAATGGAAAATAAGAGGGTGAAATAAGCTGATAAAGTTCTCAGTGGTTCCTTTTTCCTCTAGAGATTTATATAAAATAGCATAATTGCATTTACATCCATAAGAAATTTATTGTAAAAAAATTGGTAAATAGAACCGTTATTAAGAATTATTCTAATCTTGGAGTAATCAAAATAAAGAATATAATAAATATAAACTCTAAGGCAGAAAAATGTCTTTATTTAATATGTAGATAAAGACTTTAAATATTTAAACTTGAAGTAAACTGAATTTGATTTCTTCTTTTCGAGTTATCAAAGCCTCTTAATATTTTTTTCAGATTGTATTTTTTGAAAAATATATAAACTTATATCATTCTTTTAATTCATTGTAAAAATTAAAAGTTTAAGCTTTAAATTTATTCAATCATATTAATTCTTTGACTTGGCTCTTCAAAACTAAACATAATTGTATTGTGCAATATAGATACTTTTAACTTGCTGGGGCTCATTTTTTTGATTAGGGATTAACCTTTAAAGGTTCAATTTTACTTTACTTAAAAAGAAATTCTTTTACATTTTGACATTATCATTAATATGAACCTCTCTTAATAAAAATAGAAGATTCTTCTGAACTTCAGAATAAATAAAGGAAATAAATGAAATTTTCGCTAAATAAACCATTTAAAAATTTGAAGGAGGTAAAAAACTAATTACATTTTTGTTATATTTCATTTATATTCATTAGAGAATTTAAGTAGAAGTTTAAATCATCTAAAAGTAAATTAACATTTATAAAATTGATTAGATGTTCCTTCGATATTCATCTTGTTACTTTCACCAGCCAAATTTATAAAATGAGATTTTCAATTTAATTATAAATCAATGAATACTTATTTTTATAATTATATCTAAAAAGAACATAAAAAGGATCAAATTATAACTCTACTATGAAAATGATTATTAGAAATAACAGAAGTATTTTTGTAAGTGTGGTGTTTTCAAAAGTGAAATCTTCTTTATTTAATTCTAGATGAGTTATTGCCAATTGTTGTTGTTAGTCTTACCCTGGTTAAGTTTAAAAAGAGTTAAATATTTAGGTTTGAAGAAGACGAAACAATAATTTTCTTGTTCAGAATGCTAACTTGGGGCAATTTCTAGAAATGAAACTTAAATTTATCGTAGGAAATACGTCCCTAGAAGATAATGAAAAAGGTGAAAGACTGATGAGTCTTTCAACCCGAAAGCTCGTCTTTCCAATAGGGCTTGAGCTTGACCGAGGCAATGAACAAACCGAAGAAGTCAACCTTA